CATCCTCATGTACCGAAGACAGCACGATATCTACGACAAATGCACACACAACCAGTGCAGTCATTAGCTGTATGAACCGCTGGGAGTATTCCAACTTCCCGGTGTAACAAATAAGCAAAACAAGAGATACGTGCAATCTCCCATTAGAATTTTGATGCCGTCATACTGCATTAGCTTTCTACGGAATTGCATCCGCTGCCTATTGTGGAACGTGCTGACACAATGTGTTGGCTATTCCGCAGTGAGTGGTGTTTGAAGCTTTAGAAACCCGCACTTGGCAAGCTTGAAGACTGCAATCGAAGTCAAATGCCAAATTCTGTCTGAAGCATCCAAGCACGTCTCCACATCACATCAAATCTTTAGACAGGACTGCAGAATACAACGGGACGGCTATGCACTGCCAAATTTGAAATGCGCTTTCATAAATAATTGTAGTCTTGGCTGCTAGATTGCTAACCATAGTCCTACCGAGAGCATTGAGACCCTTAAAATATCTGTTGCAAGTGCTCAGTGTTACGACACACGTCCTTTGCATGTAACGATTGCAGCAATAATACGGACAAATGAAAAATTGTGCTGATGCGTTAACAAAGCCTTTGCTGATGTACTTGCAGCAACACGTTGCAACGCATTTTAAGGGCGTTAGCAAACAATTTGTGTCGTTTTTCACAATGGCCACACACTTACAGAGCTACAGTAAACTAAAGGTAGCCTCCAATTCCAAATGTGCAACCGTTCCATCCATACGCTTCTGGTTGAAAGATAAGCAAATGGCCAACGCCGGCTGTCTGGTGCTCCTCAGTCTTTACCCGAGCCTTGCAAAAGAATATAAAGGAGCCCCAAGCGCCAGCAAGCAGAACTGAAGACGAACCGCTTAACAAACAACCTAATACGCCCCTGCCTTCTAGAAAGTATGCACACAGCCACTAACAAACAAAACGTACGCCCATGGGCCCATTATGTGTATTTGGCGGTAAAGCCGCTCTTTAGCGTGTTTGCTGCTAGACCCTAGTGCTCATAACGAGTGCCACCATGCTGTTGTTCGCATAATTAGGACTTCGTCCCAGCATATGGGTTTTAGCTCGAATCGGCTGCCTGAGTTGGGCTTTTGTTATCTCAGCCTGCTAATGCAGAAGCTGACAAGCAGCTGCACGAAAATCATGAATTCCACAAAGAAAAGCACTCATGTTTTCGACATGACGGGGTGGCCTAAGTTTTGAAAGTGGACAGAGGTGTTTCGTTCTAATCTCCTTGGCGTCAAGCAGCTGACATTGGAATTTCAGCCGGTACGATATTTCTGCATGGTTATGTCTATTCGGAACTAAGCATTGTATTTCGCCTGTTTGCTGCGGGACCCTAGTGCTTGTAGCGAGTACCATCATGCTGCTGTTTGCATAATTAGAACTTTGTGTCAGCATATTTGTTTTAGCTTAAATCTGCCATTTGAGTGGGGCTGTTGTTCTCTGCGAATGCAGATGCTGACGAGTAGCTGCATGAAATTGGTGAACGCCACAAAGAAATGGATTACCGTTTTGCCGATGACTCAGTGTACAGTGATGGATTACCGTTTTGCCGATGACTCAGTGTACAGTGACTTCCGCATGGAATGAAGTTCTCAAAATCATGACAAGACCGCTATTTTTGATGGGTGACTGTCAGAAAACCCCCAGGGCGTGCGCGTCTGTAAGACGCCCATAGTGCAGATATTCTGTGACGAAACATATACAGCTTGTTACCCCCCCAAAACTCTCCGAAGCTGCCCTTTTTGCTGCAGCTGATGGAATGGAGGGTGAAGCTTTGTCATTCTTTCTTGAGAATTTCGTGCGCGGCTACTCGTGATCCCGTGGGGAAAAAATGCTTTGTTAGAGTCTTGTCGCCAATTAGAAACCGTCCTCAAAGGCTTTTCACCATTTCAAAAGCTTGTTGGGCGTCTAAAGGACGTACGTCCTGCCTGCTTTTGCTCTTGAAGGTGTTGGGCAGTTGACTTGTTCCAATAGGTACAGCTGCTTGCCACAATGTGCATGCTTTTTTCACCGAGCTTATGCTCCGTTCTTACTTTTCGAGAAAAGGTTCAACAATAGATGTTTTTTTGCCTTAGGGTGCAGCGTGTACTTTGTAGGAGCTTACTCTTGGGTATTTCTCACAAAGATGGTTGTCTGTAGAATCCTAGTTGTGTATATCCTTTTTTTGGCTCGATTTGCATCAGCTCGTGAGTTTCAGTAGTAATGCATCGGCTAATGATAGTTGTACCTGCAACATTTCAAGATGCGAGTTGCAGCACCCGTTGCAACCGTGACAGCTTAACTCACAAGGCAGCAGAGAATTAGGGCTGTATTTACACGCAGTGTCTGCATTTGTTTTCGCCTATGCACTAGTGTACAAAACGGCATATCGCGGGATTTTGTTTCAGTGCGCGTCTTTCTTTAGATGCCTAAAGCAAAAGAAAGTTACCCAATCGGGCAGCATGCAAGTGTGTGCCCAATATCGAATAGCTGCAAGACAGGAATCAAACACGAATTCTCTAATGAAATGTTTACACTATGAGGTAATCAGCCAATGAACACCACTGCCTGGCTCCAACAACTGGCGAGCCCCTCTCGGAAAAGAACGATCTCCTGGCAGAAGAATAAGCTTGAAGCAGTGCGGCGGCTTTTTGCGATACAGATTACTCTAGAGTTATTGCTGCTGCTGCATTCAGAATATTGGATGATGCAGGTGTAGTGCGTATCAGAATGCCAGTAGATCGTCGATGTCGACACATTCTTCCTTTTACCCCGTTCCTGCTGGGAGAAACTGTTCACACCAATGTAGGCTCTACGAACTTTGATTGCGGGTATCAAGAAGCGTTATCGGATCGGAGACTTCTCCACATTCGTTGTCCTTGCGTTTTCCCATGTTTGCTTATCTTGGTCTCTGTTTCCCGCTTCGCAATACGACGGGTTGTAGCAGTTGTGTGCCTCACCATCTAATTAGTGACGCGCAAGTAAATTGGGACAGTGGGTTCCATTCAATTTAGCGTAATCTCAGCCGAGGCGGCAAACATCCTTTAGGAAACTAGCAAGGAAAGAAATCGTCGTTAAGCTTGACCTTCCGGAACGACTTGGGGGAAGGAGCGAAAGTGGGAGCATCAGCATACAACTACCCTCAGTGCAAGCGTACTCCTTCCTTGCTAAAATCGGCCCATGGTTTTGTTTTGGCGTGCCCTGTGTGGTGTGGAGAGTTCATGAGGGGACCTTGGATTGCTCAGAATATGCATGTTACCAGACGCCCATAATTAGGGCCTTTCCACAGATAGTGGGTGCAGCATTTGTTCGTACTGCCAGCTTCAAGAGCCATCTGGTGCGGCTCTTCGCCTTCAGAAAAACTGCCAGCCTTCGGAAACATTTGTGGCTTGTCATTTTATAAGTCTAATTTACGGACGCTGGATTTTTGATGGTGCAGGCGTAGTGCGTAACACAATGCCAGCAGATCGTGGATGCCAACGCTTTTTTTCTTTTATCCAGCTGCTGAAAACAATTTTTCACACCAATGGACAGCTTGACTCTACTCCCGCAAATTTTTTGGCTTCCGTGGATGCATGCAGCAAGTAGCTGATCAATAAGGACAGCCGGACTCCGATCGGCACCGAGCTATTTCTAACGAGAGTATAGGATTGCGTGCATCAAGGAGCGTCGTCGGATCTGAGACATTTTCACATTCGCAGTGTTGACTCCATGTTTGCTTGTCTTGGTCTAGCAGTTGCCAAGTAGCTGATGTTTACTGCCTCACAATACGAAGTGTTGTTACAATTGTATTCCCCACCATCTAAGGAGGCAATTTTGGGTTCCTCAGAATAGGCAAGGACACCCGTAATTAGGACATTTTCACAGAAAGTGGATACAGCACTTGTTTATACTACCAGCTTCAATGCATCTCTTCGCTTTCAGCAAAGCCATCATCCTGATGGAAAATTTGCGGCTCCTTATTGTAAGTGACGCATGCAATTAGTATTGTTTTTGGCTCACACCGGTTTATCCAGGGTCTACATCTCTTTGCGTTATTTCCGTACACCTTGAAGGACACTAGCAGGCGAAAACTGCAACAGCCTCTCTCAGCGGCGGTAAATGACTCAGAGGATTTGAAGCAGAATGTGCGTTTCGGGAGAACGTGGTGGCGACAGTGGCTGTCTTCAAAGTGCGATCTCTGCATAGTGCAAATTTGGCAGCTCTGGGCACACTTGCTTTGACTGCCAGGCAGCTTTGCCTCCAAAAATTGAGCTTTTTGATGACTGCTTATGTATAAAGTGTCTAGTGCGCAACAGAGTCTCAACAGATTGTTGGTGCCGACACTTTTCAAATAGCGGCGTGATCATAAAAGGTAACTGGAGTCTGAACCGACACCGAGCTGTTTCCAAGGAGAGTAAAAAATTCTCGGCATTAAGAAGGAAGCTACATCAGATCGGAAACTTTACCCACGTTGGCTATTCTGTTCTTGTGTGACACCGTGCTTGCTAATCAATGAAAAGAATCTCGAACTCGATAAAAGTTTAAGCGTATGCTAGGGACCGATGAAGCGATTTGTTGTGTTTATTGCTCAAAAAGCTAGTGTGGGGCTCATGAGAGATCGTCGACCCTGAAAAGGGGTGGCGGCATTCATGAAGCGTGCTCGTGTGCTACAGGGATGTGCAGATGATATATCGAGATCTGTAGGAGTAGCCACTAACTTATACTATGTAGCAACGCATTAGGGCCTTTAGTTTGGCCAAACAAGTGAACTTGCGCTGTTTCGACGTTTTCGTGATGCTTTCTCTCCGGGGACAGTTTTGCTTTTACGTTTGCAGGGAAAGATAAATCAGCAACATAACATATCAGGAAGTAAAATTTTGCAGTTGAGAAGTACCAGCGCATATGACAAGTATACACCCTCAGGGAAGCGGTTTACTGAAATTCATTGCGAAGTTGTTTTTCAGAGTATTATTCCTTTAGCACGGAATTTTCGGTTGCGTTCGACGGGAGTTGCAGGCCTCGCCCATTGGACCAGTGGTCCACGCGCGGGTCCACCGGGGAAGCGCGGGGGCGCTGTTGCTGGCGCAGCTGGCACAGCAGCGGCAGCAGCTGCCGTCGAAGTCGACTTTGTTCAAAGTGCAGTTTGTGGAGGCGGCGGAGAAGGAAGAACTCCGGGTGTACAGACAGCTGCTGCCCTTCGACTTGGGCGAAGAAACTTTTCTCAGTTCCCCCGAACCCCTGTGGGAGCTGCGAGCAGTGCTGGCGCTGCTGCTGGAGGCTGAAAACAGGAAAGTGTTTTACGGCGAAGTGCCTACGGGCCCTTTGCTGGGCCGCCGCGCGCTGCTGTCTGTACAGGTGAGTCGTTTTGAAAACTTGCAAGACATTGCGGAGCTTCTGATGGAATTTTACGAGAAATACAAATCCCAACTAGCCTTCCACATTGCCCGCACGAGCCTCAAAGAGGCCGCCAGGGCTGAGGCCCTCTTCAGTACCCCCTGGGGCGGGGCTGTCCTCGAAAACCCCAGGCCCAACCCCTGAGCCTACCAGCGGGCCTCTGGGGTCTTAAGAGAGGCCCCTCCCTTTTTGCAGTATTCCCTGGGCATGCCTCTTAGCTTCTACAGCCTCGAAGCCTTTCTTGAGCAGTGGGCCCGGGGTACTCGAGAGCTGCACTTCGGGTCTCACCGGCTAAGCGCTACGAGCCCGGGGGGACCTGTGAAGGAGGTGAGTCACCACCAGTTCCTCCAGACTCTGCATGGAGCACCAAGGGCTCCTCTCGCAGTTCTTTACTACGAGCCCCGCTGCCCTGGCTGCGAGCTGTTCCTCGACGCCTGGAAGCAAGTTGCTGCTGGCTTCAGCCAGCTGGCTTCAGCCAGCAGCAGCAGCTCCGCGGCCGCCTCCTCTTCGCTCAACTCAACGCAGAACATAATGATCTCATTGACTTTGACCTCAAGTCCAAATTGCCTGCCGTCGTGCTATACCCTGAGGGGCCCCAGGCCCTCGACCGCAGGCGCCTCTACATGGGGCCCCCCATAGTGGAAATGATCGGCGACTTTCTCCTCGCGGCTGCAGCCCCCAAGGAGGAACTTTGAATCTTCAACTGGAACTTGAATTCAAATCCCAAAAGTAGTGAGAGAAGAGGTTTAAATTGATAACTCATTAAAAAATTGACAAAAGGGAACTCACGACGCCAAGAAACCGCGGCGAAAGAGTTCGGAAAAGACCCAAAATCTGCAAATAAGGACGCCGGGCTCCTGGCTTTTCCAACAGAAACGCGTGCATGCATTCTGAGCAACAAGACAAAGTGCTTAAAGCAACTGAGACAAAGTATTATTCCTGTCTCATAAAAATTGTTTTATTCAGAGCATTTGCTGCTTCTTTTCGCAAGAGAGAAAGACGCTGTCTCTGAACTTTAAATGCGCACGAATTGGAAAAGCAACTCAGAAACCGTGTTTCAGTTTGTCAAGCAATCTTTTGTCCTTTGAGTTCTTGCCTGCAAACGGGGCTTCACCTTATAAACAGCAGCAGCAGCACCAGCAGCTTTCCTTTTGGAAAGAAAAGCGGGTCGCCTTCGCGGCGCTGCTGCTAGCTTTAGGTGCATTTCGCGTCGCAGCTAGAAGCCGCTCTCAGCTGTTGAACTACTGAAGTTGATTAAAGTTTGCAATTTGCATGCAAGTTTTGAGATACCGAAGCATACCTGGTATCAAAAACCACGAAATGCATTTTATTTCTGCCGCTTGGAAAGCCCCAAATGTTTTGTTCTCAGCACAAAAGCTTAGCTCCTGCGACTTTCTGAAACTCTTTCTCCACTTATTTGCAGATGGTGTCCAACGAAGGCTAAGCTCAGGCCAGAATCAACATTCAAGTGGCAACTTGCACAGGCCTTCCGTGTTTGCTTCAGCTTCGTGGCATGCAAAAAGGGTCTCTGGCGGCCTGGTGGTAAGTGTTTTCGCCCTTCTCAGGCCGCCAGAGGCCCTTCTTGCAAGGCATGAAAGTGAAACAAGCACAGAAGGCTTTCCGCAGCGTTAGCACGGGACTCGGCTGAGCTAGCTAGCTAGCGTTTTGCTGCAGAAGCATTTTGCTTTTACTGCTGCAGCAGGAAGCAGTGGCGCCCCGGCAGCCTGCACTGCTTCGCATTGGCAGAGAGTGAGGCTTGCATGCACAGCACTGCTTTCTGCGCAGACTTCTAGGCTGATCCCGTTAGGGCACTCTTGTCAAAAACGTTTAATGCCACCAAGCAGCTGCAGCAGCTTTACAGGTATCGAAAGACATAGGTGCTCAAAAATGATCTAGATCTGCTGCGCATCGGGAAGTGCAGGTAAAAAGTATTCACAGTATTCAGGTGGCCAGCAGCCAGTGAACTGCGCATTAGCGAATCTCGAAACGAACATTAGGCCGATTTGGAAACCATACATTTGCACTGGAGAGTCGGCTTCACTGGACAGCAACCAGTGCCGGCTTCGCATGCATTCATATCTTTATTTGTACCCCAGCTAGTCATATTGTCACGAAATGTCAAAACCACAGCTTCGCGTTTGCTCGACATGCGGTTCCTAGGCTTTCCAGCTGACAGTACCATGCCAACACTGCGGCGAAGATTTGTGCATCGCGCCAGCACTGCGGCGAATAATTTTTGCTCTCTATATGCTGCCTCTCCTGTAGGCTACAGGTATCGCCAGGACAGGGTATGATTATCCTATCGGCTCCAAAAAACCTAGCTCGAAGACATTCGAACTTAGCCTCCAACGCCACGCACCCAGGTGATGAGATCGGGGAATGCTGAACGCAAAATTGCACTTTGTGCTACGAATGAAGTCAGCACTTTAGGTGTATATCACAGAACGACACCACCGCCAACAAACGTGAGAAGCTTTCAACATCCAGATACGAGATGCGTTGTGAACGAGCATTTTGTTCTAATACAAACACAGGCGCGATTATATGCTCCCATTGTTTTCATCCCTTCATATTGGCACACTAATTTGGAGGGATGTTGTGGGCTTCGCCAACTAAAGAAGCATCTTGGCATGATCATTCTGCCTTGGCCAGTCAGAAGACTTGCTGCACTTCTCCACCCTGAATGAACCGCAGAAGAACAGTGTTCCATCACTCTGTTGCATAAAGCCCTAAGTAGGCGTGAAACGAGGTATAGCCATACGCGCTGAGAATCGCGAAATACTGAGGATGACGCACCCTTTCCAAAATACAGACGGTGCGTTTGCACTCCTTTCTCCATGTGAGCGTTTGCGTGAGGATACCTTCAAGACAATGACTAAAGGCGTTTTCTTGTATTCCAAAGCGTCGCTTTGGGCAGGCACTTTGAGTGTTTCGTCGAACAAGCTCGGGATGAATGGTGTACCAAGGACTGAAACGCTGCATCTTCTTCTCGAAATCCCATGCTCTGCATGTGCGTTAGCTGGCTACTGAGAAGGCTGCAACCTTAGCAATACGTCTGGCACTGAATACGGTGGCTTTGCATTCCCCTCGGGACACATCAGGGTACCGCTTCTCTTCTCCAATAGTTGGTTGGTGGGTGTTATCTTATGTTCCATACTTGATATGCTTTTTCCGTCATACACCTTCTACGGCATCCGTCCAGTATCGCTTCAGTACATCCGAAAACTCCGAGAACTCTATGAGCCTGTAAAATCTGATTCCTCTACACCTCGGCAGGCATGCATATCTGGCTTCCTTCACACGCGGCATGCATTCATGGACTTGCATGATGGCTTACTTCTGTCCTTGCAACTGTTTGACAGCTAGAATAGTGTGATCTTACTGGCCCCAACCAGTCTATCAGTCGTTATCATGAAGTGCGTATCAGCGAATCTCGAAACGAACATTAAGCCGATGTGTAAACCATACATTTACAGTAGAGAGCCGGATGCACTGGACAGCAACCAGTGCCGGCTTCGCATGCATTCATATCTTTAGTTTTACCCGAGCTATGCATATTGCCACGAAATGTCAAAACCACAGCTTCCCGTTTGCTCGACATGCGGTTCCTAGGCTTTCCAGCTCATAGTACCATGCCCGCACTGCGGCGAGGACCAGTACATCGCGCCAGTGCTGCGGCGAATAATTTCTGCTCTCGATACGCTGCCGCTCCCGTAGGCTACAAGCATCGCCACTGCACGCTCTGATTATCCCATCGGCTCCAAAAGATCTCTCGAAGATATTCGAATTCAGCCTCCAATGCCACGCACCCAGGTGATGAGACCGAGGAATGCTGAGCGCAAAATTGCACTTTGTGCTACGAATGACGTCAGCACTTTAGGTGTATATCATTGAACGACACCATCGCCAACAAACGTGAGAAGCTTTCAACATCCAGATACGAGATGCGTTGTGAACGAGCATTTTGTTCTAATACAAACACAGGCGCGATTATATGCTCCCATTGTTTTCATCCCTTCATATTGGCACACTAATTTGGAGGGATGTTGTGGGCTTCGCCAACTAAAGAAGCATCTTGGCATGATCATTCTGCCTTGGCCAGTCAGAAGACTTGCTGCACTTCTCCACCCTGAATGAACCGCAGAAGAACAGTGTTCCATCACTCTGTTGCATAAAGCCCTAAGTAGGCGTGAAACGAGGTATAGCCATACGCGCTGAGAATCGCGAAATACTGAGGATGACGCACCCTTTCCAAAATACAGACGGTGCGTTTGCACTCCTTTCTCCATGTGAGCGTTTGCGTGAGGATACCTTCAAGACAATGACTAAAGGCGTTTTCTTGTATTCCAAAGCGTCGCTTTGGGCAGGCACTTTGAGTGTTTCGTCGAACAAGCTCGGGATGAATGGTGTACCAAGGACTGAAACGCTGCATCTTCTTCTCGAAATCCCATGCTCTGCATGTGCGTTAGCTGGCTACTGAAAAGGCTGCAACCTTAGCAATACGTCTGGCACTGAATACGGTGGCTTTGCATTCCCCTCGGGACACATCAGGGTACCGCTTCTCTTCTCCGATAGTTGTTTGGTGGGTGTTATCTTATGTTCTATACTCGATATGCTTTTCCCCGCAAAAAGCTTCTAGCGTATCCATTGATGATCGCTTCAGTACATTAGATAACTCCCAGAACTCTACGAACCTGTAAAGTCTGAACCTTTTTCTTGTAGGCAGGCATGCACATCTTGTTTCGCTCAGACGCTCCACGCCTTCATGACTTCGTTTGGTGTACCATCCTTGTGGTTACGTCAGTTTAGCAGTTGGAACGTGACATCCCATGCAAAATACAGTCTATGAATTTTCCCCCTCCCATTATCGTACGCCTGACAAATTCCTTTTTCTACGTGGGTCATCGAGTTTTTTCCTTGTTACAAACTCCTTCGGGCGTTGTCAGAAGTGCCAAATGTTTCGCATACGGTGATTGTGCGCACAGGTGTTACGGAAGACTGCATTCCGTGTCTCGAAGGACTGCATTGTTTTCCTGCAACTCTGTTGCACGCCTGTGGCCTGGAACAGCTGCAAGTCGGCCAGAGCTTGCACTGTACCGAAAATTCCGAGCTTTCCCGCGCTGGTTCTTGCGATGATCTGAACAGGATTGCTTCTTTTCCGTGTCCGCTATTAACTGTGGCGAGCAGAGAGTATGTCTTAGAGATGTCTAGCAGCGATGTTTCAGGACCAAAGTGAGAAGCTTAGGGCGTTTTTTAGCGTCTGCGTTTTCCGAAGAGGCTCGAGCTGCCGGCTGTGCGAGATGCGAAATGCCATGCAGAGTGGTGGCTGCTGGATGAAAGGCAGCACTAGAACGAGCGGTGTGCCTGTGGGGTTGCGTCGCTTTTGGAATTCCTAGCGTGTGCGTTGAAGACCCTGTTTCTGAGAGCGACAGCAAACGGTAAAAGCGTATTGCCTGCAGAGACCTACAGCAGCATTACACTTCTTGAAGACGCAGCGTTGGTGAGAGGCGCAAACCCTCTATACCAAGCATCTGAAGATTGAGAGCGACACCGCTGGCAGTCTACTTGAATCATGGGTGACTCTTTGTCTGGCGACTGCAACGATGAAACCTCGTTTATATCCGCGTCGTGCCCAGGCAAGCGATTGTTTACTGCAGCGGGCAACTGCCCTCTCTGTTCCTGATACTGAGTCCAT